TATTAAAGTTTCTCTTGATTGCAGACATTGCAAATGAATTCCTACCTCCTCTCAAGTGTTCTTCACTTGGTTAGACTTGGTTAGATCTCATGAAGTTGCTTTTCTTAACCATGGAAATAAGTCTGTTGTAAATAATAACTTCGTTGTCTTCTGTAATCTTTGAGGCCTTTTGGTGTTTATAAGCTAGTCAGTGCATTCCTTCTTTTCAATAATGTATTAAATTGTTCTGCTGGACACTAAAGTTTTTTTGCTAAACTTCTGATTTATTTATTTTATGGTTTGTTTGTTTTTTTTTCCAACCTAGTAACAACCTCCCCTACTTGCACTCACATCTGTTAGGCTTTCATATTTAAAATTACATTGCAAAGCAATTAAATACAAATTCAACATTTTGAGTCAACTTTAGATATGCCTAATTAATTTGTCACATCTCACCTGACCATGAAACCGCTTTTCAGTCAACCGTCCTATCCGGTCGTTAAGTAATGACGTGACGAATCCTACTTCCGGGCCTAAAGTAGTCTGCGTTTAATATGGCTTTTGTGTTGTTAACATGTTTAATGTTATGTATTTTCTTCTATTTAATCTCAAAAAGCTCCTAAAACAGTCAGTGATCACTGATGACCTCCCTCGGCTTTTATTACTGCTAATCATTTATTTAAGCTCAGTTTTAAAACCTTAGCATGTAACTACAGCCCAGCCCATGCAGCAGTATATGAATGACTAACCTCGTATTGGGGATGGAGTATCTCAGTTATTCTCCTGGCTGAAGTTTGGTCCTTTTACAGCATCCTGCCATGCGATTACATTTGTTCCTGACCACCGAGAACACTCACGTTAACTTTTATCGAGAGGAAAAAAAGTTAGCTTGTTTATATTATGCTAACATAGCTGTGTCGCTAGCGGTCACGTAGCACATCATTATATACCAGCTAGCCAAACTTCAGTAACCCTACAAACGTCACTGCTGTTTAGTTTTCTGTCTTCATTTATGTTGGAAGTGATAGCAGAGCTGAATGTTTGAATTTGTTTCCAAAACCCCGCAGTCAGGACATGCTATGTTGTATTATTTAGATAGAAGCTAGCGAGCTAACTTCCTGCTAACTTCTAACTCCGTTAAATGTCATAAATTCCGTTTTCATGGATGCCTGGATGTTAAACTCAATTGTTACACCTGGTAGAGCAGAACGCTGATCATTTTATTAAAGATGAAAGACTTTAGACAGTTTTTCAACTCTCAGTAATGCCATAGTGATCGTTTGATATATGGACCTGCAGCTGAGTTTAGGTCCAGACACGGCCAGTGACGTCAGACTTAACGACCGGATTAATTCTGAGCTTCCAAAAATGGGGAACTGTGTATATTGTATGTGCATGTGTGTAATTCCTAAAGTGTTAAAGGAAAAGTTTTGTGAAACTAAAAGTCTGCACTACAATCACAAATTGATTGTTTGATTTAAAATACACTGTGGCAGTGTACAGAGGCAGAACTACAATTTTTGGTTTGTTATATTGGTTCATTCCCAACATCTTAAATGCAATTTTAAAAATAGTATTTATACAGGTGGACATATTGTAGTATTACACTAATAACCCGCAAGTGTAGCTTATTAGAGGAATGTGCAAGAGGAACATATACTCATTATTTTCAAACATTTTGTCTTTTTTGTTCTTCTACTGTAGATTTTATTCAGATATGTAAAAAGAAGATTGAAAAGCAAAGTTGCAATGTTTTTTTTTCTTTTCTTCGTAAATACACGAGCCATGGACCCTGAATAGGATAAGTAGTTACTCACAAATGGAAGCCCATTTAAAAAATATACCCAAGGTCTTGTTAGACCTAGAAAGTAGCATTTACAGTTTTACATCTGACAGTTGTGTAGATTGTTAAATCAGCCAATAGTCTGAATTAATTTAGGCCCATTCCACATAATAAAGTGCTGTGAGTATAACCTTTTATCTTTTCCAGTGCTACCATATGATAGAGTGATAATACAGTTTCATTTAGATTCAGCTTTGAAGTATTATAATGGAAAACTTTGATTATGTCTAACTAAAGGCAAAGATTTCAAAAGGTCATTGATTCTAGAAGATTCTATATCAGGTAGGGAATTGGAAATGTGATCGCCGATATACACTATGCTGCAAGTTTGATAGTGTGGCAAAAGAACGTAACAAATCCATTTAAGCACTGCCTTTCTCTCATGTTATGGATAGAGTGCTTACATGCAAAACACATTAAGCTATTAACCTTTGCAAATGTGTTAGTTTGTAAGTCTGAGACTCATTGTGTGAGCCTCAGTAGATTTTATATATTAGTATCGGTTGCACCAGACTAGTTCCAGGTTTTCAGGTTCATACAAGACAAGGCAGCTCTGACAGCTGTGAATAGATAGTGGTAAACCTGAAAGGAGTACTTAATTGCTCTCTCGAGGAAGAATGAAGGAATCTGTAAACTCTAGAGCCAGAATAAGGAAGGGACTTGACATCTCTGGAAGTCTTCTGGGAGACTCTCACGAATATGGATGTAGGCCAAAAGCAGTGTTTGCGGTTTCTCTAATGGTGTGAAGCAGAGACAGAACATTTCTAAAAAATGGACAAAGGAGACTGATGAAGGGGTTAGAAGAAGGGATCTGACTTCCATCACAGAACTGGGGGAAAGAATCTTGACATCCCAAGATGAGAGCAGTACAAAGTGTGGGCATTGTTAGTATGGAGTTGGGGTTTGGTGGAGAGGAGTATTGTTCCTTTTTGAGCGATGCTAAAATCACTTCTGACATCGTGTGGACAGCTCTATAGTAGGTTTATAGATTATACCTTTAGAGGAGAATGATACAGGTCATTCTTATCCTTCTCCAGAATGGACTTCTTCTTAACTTCTCAAACTTTGCCTTATATACCAATTTCCTTGCTTCTATTTTAATATCTTAAGTTCCTAGCAAGTATGCGTCATCTCCAAATCCGTTTTTATTTAATTTTATCGTAAAGTGGAATAAAATGGATCTAAGCATCCAATGTTGGAGGAAAAGAAAAGATAATAATGGTGGATTTACTTGAAGAATAAACGGCTGCTGCAAACTCTAAAATAATATAACAAACCAGCAGCTGTATTTTTTTTTGCTCATTTTGCTTTTCTTTTTGTCTGTAAAAAAGAAAGAAAACCCAGATTTCACATCAATTAGTGTGTATCTTTATTTTTATTATTCTTTATTTTTGAAAATATACAATAATCTTGATATTTACCAGCTGTCTGGTTCTTTAATGTTTGCTTTTACATCAAAGATCAGGTTGATGCCTGTTTTGAGACCATGCTCATTTATGCTGTTTAACATTCAGATATCAGTTTCATTGTGTGACTAGCGATTCAAAGAAAAAATGCAAAGAGCTAAACCAAAGAGAAGAAAACATGGAATCGGTCTGTACAAATGAGGCAGTGATCTGTGCTGACAGTTCATTATGGCTGGTAAATGCAGCCATGTGGGGGCGGCAGGAGGAGAGACGGGAGCCCTAATTGGAGCGGATGGGAGGGATTCTCATATCATAACAATATCACAACTATTTACATGCTTACACCTCTGGCAACTCAGAGACTTAGAGAGTGTGCTATTAGGGAGGAGATCGTTTTTGCCATGTGAGTTCAGGAGCACTTCATGTGTTAGTATGTGCCTGTTTTTATAATCACAGAATATAAAATCATAAAATATGAAAGTTAAGGCTAAAGAATACAAAAGAATAGTATTTTTTTTCTCTACCAATCAAAAGCATACGTTTACTGCATTTTTTGTTCCAGGGCTGAAAAAGTATGATTTTTTTTGTGTGTTCAAGAAACTAAATCTGCTTTGACCACAATCATTCTTAAGTCATAATGGCTACGATGAAGCGCTTTTAGACCGTAGGAAGTTCTTATAATTGTGGAAGGAAGAACCGCCTTTCTTCGTGCTTGCACTGCAGGATCTAAGAAACATCAAAGGCCTTAGAAGTCAGTTCTCAGGGCTTTTTCTGAGCTCCTAGCTCCCGGTACGTATTCTCCTGGCACACCAGGGACCTTTGATTGACACAGCATCAGACTGACACCAGCTCTTGCTATGATAAAAAAAGAAGAAAAAAAACAAACATTGGTAAAACATTGGACTGAAAGTGAAGCCAAGGCTTTAATAAGACTATGTTGTGGAGGAAATACATCCCAACTGTGACACATACCAAATGCCAGACGGCTGTTACATAATTTCAAATGTTCCTACTGGTGATGTGAATACAAACAGAAAAATAACCCTTGAAGTTATGTAGTTCTTGGGGCGCTACCCTTAGGGCATAGTTCTCAAAGTTTTGATGACTTAGTGCCAATTTAGGAAGCCAACGTATAGTTGAGGGCTTCACAGGGAAGATAAATCATTAAAACATTTTTTTTCTTTTGGTGTTTATAATGTGTCTGTTCATAGGATGGTGTTTTATGTTTGTAACTGTGGTTTTTGCTCTAGTTTATACTTTCCTAAGCATTAGCAAGGTTAGTTTTTCTATTCCTTTAGTAAGAAGTCAATTATATTTATTTATTCCAAAGTCAGGAATGTTTAGTGTGAGCTGTGGCTACAGTTGAAATCAACGATAAAATCTCCCTTAGTTTTATACTACTGTTTTTTTGTAATACAAAAACATGGACAAACAATGTCTTCCTGGCGACCAGGTTGTCACAAAATACTTTTATTCTGTGTCATTTGGGAGAGCAGTTTAAAACCATGCATTTTCAATATGTGGTGATTGCACATATATTGTACCGACTTAAATTTGATAACAGTTGGTGTACTCTGTAAATATGTATTCTGAGAAGGAACTACCTTTGCCAAAACTCCATTTAAATTCCAGGATTTAGCAGAAGGGCTGTGGGAAAAGACATCTGACCCTTTACGTTGACACCACTATAAACAACAAAATCCTAATTAAATACCATTAGTAACAAAGCAATAAGGGTTTTTTTTGTTTGTTTGTTTGTTTATGTGTTCCAGGTGCTGTCCCCTCTGACATCATCAGTCCTGGCTGAAAGGAGCATCAGAGTGGTGGATGATAAAGTGAGCGTGACAGAGCTAGGGGTGCAGTTGGTATCTGGATTAACTCTGTCCCTGCAGCTCAGCCCAGGCAGCAACAGGGCTATTGTTGCCACTGCAACAACACAGGAAGTTATTGAATCTCTCAAGCAGGTATGACTTCTATAATAATATATAATATAGGTAATATGGACATATAAACATTTTACATGGCAATTTGACTAATAACTGCTCATCCAACAGTAAGACTAGAGTGGACTTGTTGATGCAAAATTAGCATTTTTCTGTGAGTCTGATTTGGCTTCATATTTGGCTTTATGCTCAGCTCAGTCATAATAGCTTGCAAGTTTAGAAATGGATTAGGTTTATTACGAAGTCTATGGTATTCATTGTTGTTTAGAATTAATTCACTTTTCATATACAAAGCTTTCTCTTTGATTTGCATCTCTAACCATGGAACAGCTCTGTTATTCCTATAATTATAATTTCAAATGAAGGTAGGCTACAGTCTCTTTCCCTAGAAAGGATATTTAGCTTTCAGGAGAATAGTTTTGTATCCGTTCTATCCAATTGTTTCAATGAACCTTTGTTAACACTGACTTTTCTGTCCTCCATGTTCCTCTACTTTATTTTTTAGTGTCTGTTTTTAGTTTATGGTCCTTATGTATTAATAAGAATTGTGAAGAATATTATTTTTACTGTGTAACATTGGGGTTTTTTTTGTTTGTTTGTTTGTTTTTTTGTTTTGATTTCTTAGGAGTCCCTCATCAGTGCTTGGCTTCATTTCAGTGACGGATCCATGACTCCTCTAGATAACTACAACCCTGCCCATTTTACCCTGGCAGCCACCTCATTGGATGAACAGGTTGTGGTGGTGCAGCAAAGTCCAGCATGGAAGTGGCCTATCATTGTTGCCAAAGGAGAAGGTCAAGGTTTGCTTGTACGTGTTGAAATGAGCCCATCAGAAATGTGCCAGAAGGGAAAACGACATACTGTTTTAGCCACAGGAATGGCGAGCACACATGTAAGACTTGGTCAAACAGAGGAACAATTCAGACAACCAGGTGGCCGACGTACACGCCCTGACCCTCCATATTATGGCGGATCCATCTCTGACATGGAAACTGGGTTAAATAACCGTGGAGCCACTACCATCAGGGGCCATGTTCCAGTAAGGCCAAGTGGGGGCCGTCTTTCAGCAGAAGTTGGAGCAAGGGCTCCAAATGAATTCTCTGAATATCCCGATCAGGCCGAGCTGCCCCGGAGCCGCAGCACCGATGAGGACTTGTTGACCTCCCGACGAGGCCTGACAGACTTGGAGATCGGTATGTATGCCCTGCTGGGAGTTTTCTGTCTGGCCATCTTGGTTTTTCTCATTAACTGCATCTCTTATGCATACAAGTACCGTAGCAAGCAGTTCTCCTTGGAGGCTCCAGAGGCAATGCCTCATGCACATGACTGGGTTTGGCTTGGCCAAGAGGAGGGGCTGTGTCTACAACAACAGCAGCAGGACGAACTGGGCGGTACCCTAGAAGAAGGTAGTCAGCTATTAAATGGAGGCCTCCAGCGAGGTAATACTGGTGGAGCAGGATGTAGCTCAAGTGGGAGGGATCACAGGAATGAGTCACTTAACTCACCCACCACCAAGAGAAAGAGGGTGAAGTTTACCACTTTTTCAAGTGTCAAGTCGAGTAATGGGTGTCCTGCCCTCAGCCCCTTAGCACTAGTGCAGACCAGTGAGATAAAATGGGTATGTCCAGACATCGAGCTCGGAGACTCAAAGGATCTTAGGAACTACATGGAAAAGCTTAATGAGAACGCAATTAAGAACATTGCATAGGGGGTACTGGGTGTTTTCATTGAACTAAAGAGAAACTCACCTGAATGCCTTCAGACTAACAAGGGAAGGAGGGTTACGAAGGAGAGGTGAAGAAGAGACTGAAGCCGCTGTTAAACTGTACACCTTACCATAGCAAGAGGATAGTGCATTCAGCCTCTGTTTTTTCATGAAAGTACTCAGAAAAGGTCAAGCTATGGACTACAAAAAGATACCACAACACCACAGCATCAAGAGGAAAATGTGAAATTAGTATTGTTGCTTAAATTAAATGTATGTTCTTTGTTTCTAGTTTTCTTTCCTATGCACCATCTACACCGCTTTGTTTTGTGTTTTGTTTTTTCAAATCGCCATGTTTTAATATCACGTTTGTTGTAATTTTTGCGACTTTCTGTTATTTTTCTAGAGGCTTCTTTCCCTGTCAGAAATTATTGAATCTAGGAGAGTAAGGTTAAAAGAAATTTTGTATTGTAAATAAAAGCAGAGTTTAATTTGGAGGGACTGTATGTATAGCAACATTTTTTAAAGTGATGTATGGTTTTGTTTTGCTTTAGTTTCTTTTCAGTTAGTTTTGTCTCCAGAAAGCAGATCCACGCATGATGTTATTTAAAAGGAGGCATGTGAGTCTGATCTGGTATGCAAACTGAAAATTTGTAGATAACTAATACCAGTACCCCTGGAGACATGTCATTCACTGTGGGTGAGTTTAGCTTTCAATTCAATATGTTGATGTTGGTTTAAGAGATTTATTGGGCCCTACATTTTCCCTCCTTATATTGGTTTATGTAACCTCCTGTTGCATAGTTCACATTAAACTGACTTTTTAGGATTCAAAAGGACAAATTTTGATTAAATCAGAATAGTCAATATAAATATACTGACACAACCAAAAGTATCAAAGACAATCACATTTAAAAAAAAAAATTAAAAATTAAAAAAAATTCTTCATTATAATTTTCCCGTAAAACTTGTCCAGAAAAAAACTCGTCAGAAAACACATTTACAGTGATTTTTCAAATTGCTGTATGACATTTTGAATCCTGTAAACTGTAGAAGAAAGCCCAAATCTGACCCTTTCGCTTTTTGTCATAAGCAGTATTAGTCAGTTCCAACATTTTCTACTGTATGTCTGTTTTAAAATTGGCTGGTGGACTAATTAAACCCTGAAGTTGACTCTTCCTTTTTTTTTTTGTGGCTGTGTGATTTATTGGCCTAGCCATTGTTTTCCAATCTCAGTCCATCAAATACTGCTCTCACGAATAACCACAGAGACGGTGGCTTCATCAGATATCAAAACGATGATTGGTGCAGCTTTTGGAGTTCTTCACATTTCTCTTCAAAAGGCAAAAGTAAAAGATGTTTTTTGTTTTCTTTGTTTTTTTCTTTGTTTCACAAGTGAATACTGTTAAGATAATATTATATATTGGCTTTACGCCGCACCGTGATTTGAAATAGACAAACAGAAAAAAATATAAACACAATAATATTTTTACCATCATAATGTCAGCCACGAGTTTTGATTCCATAATGTCTGTTTGTTTGCTTTGGAAGCATGGTCTTTGGAAGTAACCAAAGTTGGATGAGTTAGATGAGAGGAGAGGGTAGAGTGTGCCAAGTTAACAGCCAAAATTTGCAGAACTGGTCAGCCCTTTAAGCCCCAGGTAGGTTTTTTTAATTTAAATTTTCATATTGAAAATTTTAAAAATAAATCAGTGAGGAACAGTGTGAGCAAAACTGTGAGACCAGATGGCTCAAACGCACCACCTTATCATTATTACCAGTCAAAACCAGGGTTTTAAAAGCAATTTTTCTTTTCCCCAAGCAAAACTGCAAATTTGAGACTAAATGCAGGCCCTATGCCATTGAGCCAATGATACCCATGTTGTTGTACCTGTTTAAAAAATGTTCACCTCCAGTCAAAGTGTCAGACTTTGCGACCTTCATATCACTGTGCTGGATCAGTTTTTACCACAGAGAAACGATTAGCAAGCTGCATCCACAGACACTATGGGTTCATCACACAAATACTTCCTAATTAGTGCCTAGCAGCCTACAAATAAAATAATTGAATTTCACTTATCAAAGATGGAGTTCAGACTTCTTTGGATGGCATGCTAGTAGAATTACCCACACAGCAAGCTCTGTTATTTGTCATATCAAAAAGCTCTGAAGGGCACCAACACCACAAATACAGTTAGAAGGTCCACTCCTGTGATTCCAATTAGAAGATATGGAGCCTGGCAGACAGCTGCTGGCTACAGCTGCTTGTGTTGGCATCCACCTGTCAGTCAAACATTTAAGCCTAAATAAAGTTCGCTCCATCCATCCATTTTCTTAAGCTCTTATATAGCTTAGGGCCACAGATGGGGCTGGAGCCCATCACAGCTTTCATGGGGCAAAATGCAGGGTATACCCTTGACAGGTCACCAGTCCATCACAGGACCAACACAGAGAGACAAATAACCACACGCTCTCACATCCACTCCTATGGCAAATTTAGACTCATTAATTAACCAACTCCATATGTCTTACGACTGTGAGAGGAAGCCAGAATACCAAAGGAAAACCTATACAGCCAAGGAAAACCCATACAGCCAGGGAGAACACACAGAAAGATCAAAACCATCCAGGAGGGTTGAACCGTGATCCGGGCAAAGTAGCAGCACAGTGGGCTATTACCTTTAAAGACCAAAACCATTCTTTGTACAGGCAGTACACACTCCTTTCTCTGCTATGATGCTGGGCATTTGAGTATGACATTAGGGCATTTGGGGATTTATTTGGTTTTGGAGCCAGCCTAAACTGACCATTCTTTACATGTAATAATACCCGTGGGCATAATTTGTGTATAACAATTTCCTGATGAAAAAGGTTATAGGCTAAGTGCATATGAGCCCCGAAACACTTGTAGCATACTCAGAAAATTGGTCTTTTTCCACAGGATCACAGACATGCTCCCCTTTCTAAAAGGGCAACATAATTAGGGATTACTTAGTTCAGTCTTATTACATGTTAATGTGGCATTTCCTATGCAATTTGTCTTGCCCACTTACTGTACCTACTCTGATATAATTTGCACCCTAATTAAAATAAACCCAGAGGACCTGTGCATATCAGGAAAGGATGTAAACATTTTCATTTATAGACATCATGAATGATGTGCTTTTAGATTAATTCAATACATTGCAGTAGATGTACAAAATTGGGGGTATCATGTGCTTATTTTGCTTTTTTATATTTAGCACTTTCTGGTTCTTTTACCTATCTGTAGGTAAAACAGAGGAACAATTCAGTCAGTCAGAACAAAATCTGTCTACCACATCAGAGGATACTGTTATCACACTGGACCACAAACAGCCTGCACTGCCACACTTCTACCTGAACTTCCACTTCCATATTCACTTTAGTCTGAGACTTATACTTCTGCCTTTGTCCTTTGTATGCTGAAGTGCCAGGTACTCTTCTTGCTGACACAGGAATCTCAGGGTCTCTACTCTAGCTAACTAAATAACTAGGAGCACCTGTCAGGTATAATGGAACAGAACCTTTTCACTATCACGAACCATCTCCACTGACATTCATTTTGCAGATACATCACTTGTTATCCCATTCCATTTTCCCCACCGTTGCTATGCCAACAATCCTCAACATGACCCTCTCTTCTTCCCTTCTCCTTACCATTTTGTTTCTTTGACATGTAGGCTGGCTAGCTGGTATAAGCAGTTGCACAGCTGAAAACTGCTCCAATACAAAGTCTGTAATATGAAGTAAGGTCTATGTTTGTCCATGCATGGCCTTGATTCCTATCCTAAATATATAAAATATTCCTGCTGACCAATCGTTTTGACTGCAAAAGGATTGACTATAACAAAGCAAGTCTATGATACGAGTCAACAGAAGCCGCAATGCTAAAATTGTCATGTTGAGTGGGTGTAATGTAGCCCATTAAAGCTGAGGATGATGGGATTTGTATGATTAGGTTTAGGTATTTTGTAATAAAGTAAGTTTAAACTGATGGTAAAAAGTCAGTGGATCAGCAAATAAATAAACACTGAAAGGGGTCTGATAACTGTATGCATCCATTTTCATGATAATCTGTCCACCAGTTGTTTTATTTGAAACCCAAGATACCAAGTTCAGTGTGGTGTAAATTCAGGGTCTAACCATGAATGCCTACACTGAGATTTGCTGTAATCCATTGTCAAAGAGCAGCTGGTAACCCACTGGAAACATGAGCCTTTGCACACATATGAGTGCTGTCTTCCCTTTTTGGACGTGTGACAATCATTGTGTCAAGGTGGTGCAAGCGAGTAAGGGCATAAGTCACACAGGATTGGTCTGCAACCATCTAGCAACCAACAGGAAAAAACTTTTCCCCAACTGGTTGATGAGTAGTTGCTCGAGGTTCATGGTAGCTGCTGGGAAATCGGTTGCTAAAGCCTGAGTTACACAAGCCTAAAGACTAGTCAGATACATCACCAGACAACCACTGGCAAACCATTGTTTGCCTGGTAGACAGCAAGTCATTACTCACAAACTATTAGCCAAAAAGTAGTAAAACTTGAAAGTGTTTTTCAAACTGGAAACAGAGAACGCTGCCTTCTAAGTTAAAAGGTGCATATTTAAAAACATGTTGTCTACAGAAAGAGGCCAACAAGTTTCTAGAAACCAAAGGAGATTTTTGGTGCAGCACCCTCTTCGTGACCAATTTCACCTACTGACAGCCAGAAACCTACAGGCACTACTCACCAACCATTAGGGAAAATGCATTTCCCCTCACAACAGATGGTGGTATCTCATCCAATATAGGGGACATCTCTCCAGCAATGTGCATATGATGTCATGGGACAAACTTCTATAAGTCAGGTAAGTGACTTATAACTTATAACTCATAGTGAGTAGGTTTCATTCTAGACCATTATTGACATGCCTAAAGTCATTTAGGGTTAGGTAATTAAAATTTAAAGGTGGTGATCTAGTCAGCAGACTAAAAAAAATGTAACAACGGCATGCAATTTTACCAGACATACAATTTATATAAAAAGATATTAAAAAATACCCTCCTGTAATGTATTTATTTACTTGACTGTATGTTTGAACACCTAAGTAAGCCTGTTGTTACTCTTTTTATTAATTTAAGCCAAAATTCTGCATCTATCTTTAAGCCAGAAGAGGCACTATGGTTTAAGAAACTTCTGAAGTACTATAGTTTGTGTGTACGCTGGCCAGTGTGCATTTCTAATGGTACTGCATAATGCATGCTTGCCTGTCGTTGTGTGAGTGTATATATATTAAAAAAAGAAGACACACACACTTATACACACTGTGTGTGTATAAGTGTGTGTGTCTTCCTACATGTGTCCATGCGTCAGTGTGATTTATGGGTTGCAGTGCTGCAATTAAGGCAGGTCTGATTGTGGCATTGTTTTCTTTATTCTGCTGACATTGAAACACAAGAAGTCTTTGACCCAACTCTGTCTGCAGTTGTAAACAATAAAGCCTTATGGGATGCCGCCATAAGTGACCTGGCGTAGCCCTGAAAAACAAACGAATTGTTCATTAAGACAAAATGAATCATAGCATTTGTAGCAATGTGAAGCTGATCATTGCAAATCCCTGTGGTAATGGTCTTGTTGAGCTCCGCAAACAGACAGGGCTGTGGTTTTTATGCACCTCTTCTGCTGAAAAAACACTTCTACTCTGCTCTGGAATATATGTTTGGTGGGTTTTTTAAAATCCCTAATGATATTTTTGTTTTTACGTCTGTGTTTTTCAGCATCCTAGGGGAATGTGTATTCTGGGTCCCTGAAGTGATAATGATGGCTTGTTAGCTGGTTTCTTTGTTCTGCAGCACAATGCCATACTGACAGGCTAAGAAAATTGCTGTTGGAAACAGTTTTTGTGGAGGGTGTTCAGAAATTGAGGGGAAAAAAAGTCACTGTTTGCTTAACAGGATTCTTGAGTGGAGGACCAGAGTGTAGTGGTTTACACATTCGCATAAAAAGCAAAAAATCCCCAGTTTAATCCCCAGGAGGAGACACAAGCCTTTGGGGTTGCATCAGGAGGGGCATCCAGTGTAAATTCTGGCAACTTAACACATGTGGAGCTATCTACTGTGGTGGCCCCTGGGGAAGGGAGCAGCCAGAGTAGCTGTGTTTCTGAGTGGAGGAGATTGTTGTTAAGGGGTCAAGTATTTATATGGCTTAATAGCTCCTGTGTTAGTTTCATTGAAAAAAAAAGATTTAAATTTTTGTTCATTTTAATCTAAACATCTTTAAATTTAAAAATTCATCTGCGATTATGAGTTGCATGAATCACTTTGACTGTAAACTGTTTGATAAACTGTCTGTACACAGTCTCTTCAATAACTTAGCCTTAAATGGGATGGCTGATGTGAACCCCTCAGTGACAAGAGCAGACAATATTAGTTTTAAAATGCTCTCTAGGCTCACAGTATCTCATTGTGATGTGGAAGATGAATCATCTGACGATGACTGATTCCTTCTGTAACAGACTGATGAGTCAGATGTGAACAGACACCTTATTACATTTGAAAGGATGAGCTAATTAAAGCCTCCTGAAGCTCTGGAGCTCTGCATTCATACCCAGAGCTTCAGAGACAAGCTCAGGGACCAGCTCAAGTCTTTACTCTCTACCCTGGAAATTCAGTAGTGATAACTTGTGTGCCAGAGTCCAAATGAAACCTAAGTAGTTGAAACTTGCTTTGTCTGATTTCCAAAGGCAACACATTCACCAGCAGTGTGGTGATGAGATATGTTGTCTCTAAAAGAGATCAAACTAGACTCCTGGGAAGGTAGAGTAATTGCAGCTGATGGGCAAGGAGAGCATTGTACTAATTTTGACAGTCACCGCTCTACCAATTTGCTTCAGTTTGTCCTGCAGCCACCATTTTTATGAAATGCTCAGTAAATCACCATAGACACATGACTCCTAATAAGCAGAAGTAAACAGATGGATGGATGGAACGTTTAGACTGAGACATTTTACTGTTTCGTGAAAAATAAAAATCTTAGTTTGAATCTAATGGCATCAACACATCTAAAAAAAAACAAAAAACAAGTTGTGATGTGAAGCACAGCAAGATTGGAACAAGGCTGTAACTAAGTTTTTTGGGTTTTCTTTGGTAATTTGGTAATTTATTTCAACATGTGAACAATATACAGATACATTTAGAAAAGAAAATAAGAGAGAAAAAAATACTATACAAAATACATACAAAAAAACATTCTGATTAGTTTACATGTTGAAAGGGAGTGGGAAGAAGTAAACACTTATTTAATCCCACCCCTTTGCCATAAATTACCAGTTAATATTTAGTCAGCTTCCTTACTGATATAATTTGTAATAAAAAATAGTGAACAGATTTCTGATATACTATATACTATAATTAGAGATGGACCGATCTGATATTACATATCGGCATCTGTCTGATACTGACATAAATTACTGGATCGGATATCGGAGAGAAATAAAAAATGTAATCCGATCCATTAAATATCAAAAGAGCACCTCACAAAACTTGTGACACGGCATAACTCAGCTCATAACCGTAGCACCTCGCAGCAGTATGCATCACGTGATAGAGCGGCTGTGTGTATTTGTAGCCTCGCTACCAAACCTGTGGCATTTCATCTCCGAGGAAGTTATCCCAGAGAGAAGTAAAGCAAATGTGTAAGTTCATCTCTGAATGTTTGTAAAACATTCCCATGTTAAGCTTAACAACCGATATATGGAGCGACTGCCTCTCTCCCTCCCTCTCCTGCTGGTACTTCAATCCTGAAACTGATCAATGATCAGCTGATCGGCTTTTCTGTCGCGAGTCCGTCTCTCTTCTTTGTTTTTGGCCCACTTTGCACCAGAAAGAGGAAACCAGCAGCTGAACAACAGCAGCACGTTTAAGCTTGATAAGCTGTTGTTAGAATTTATTTAATATTACTTTCTACACCAGGATCCTTTTCTATGTAGCTGACTGCTGGTAACTAGTGATGTGCGGATCGATCCTGAAATATAGATTCCTCCGATACCAATCATTTATGTTCTAGAATCGATTCTCACATTAAAATATCGATATTTTAGTAATTTAGAGTAAATTTGTAGTTTATCATCAACAGGGACACAATGGAAAGAAACTATAACACTCGGATTGTCTACATTCAAAGGAACTACTTCCTCTTCCGCCTTTCATAGTCATGTCCAAAATACGGCTGTATAAATGTCTCGCAGCACCTTGGTGTGCGCACGCACAACAATGGCTGAGCGTAATTGTGCGGACGTATTTTACCTCCACAAACAGCTGAGACGTGGTTTGCCATACATGTGGCAAAAAAGTGCTCCAAGAGTGAGGTGTTGTGGTGTTCTGACAAACCATCCTACTTTGGCAAAACGTCCTACCCGTAGGATAATTTTACGGTGTCCCCTGACAAACAGTCCTACTTTGGCAAACCGTCCTACCAGTAGGATAATTTTAAGCTGCCATATGACAAACTGCCCTACTTTGGCAAAATGTCCTACTGTACGAAATTTATGCACATTTCTGCTGCCAAACACTTCTTTTTACCCATTAAAGTGTGCTTGTAGGTCACATTCACAAAGGTAGCATGTTTTGGCACGTAATTCTTCCTATCAGAGTATGCTTCTAGTTTATAATAACAACAGTAGCATGGTTTGGCACTTGTTTGTAGAAGCAGTCTGCATGCCAAGGTGCTTAAGTTATACAGCTGTCACTATTGAAGTGATTGGAACACCTGACTATATAAACTTTGACAATGAACAGTTACACTATATATTTACTGAATATATTTACAGATACATATATTTGACATTTATAGATCCAACAGAACACAGGGAGAAAGAACTGAAAAAGAAACAGTGTACAAATTATGCACATTTGTCGCACAGGTATTTGACCAGGCTGCTCTCATATTGAGCACATCCAAAATGTGCCCATCTGGAACAAAACTCGCACTGCACCTGAAGAGGGAGAAGGGTGGGGTGTAAGTGTGTTAACCAACATTGTGAATTTGATGAGAAAATAATTACAACAGTGGCTTGCAAAAGTATTCGGCCCCCATGAACTTTTCCACATTTTGTCAGATTGCATTCACAAACATGAATCAATTTTATTGGAATTCCACGTGAAAGACCAATGTCTCTACCAGTCTCTAGCTGGTAGAGACAGACCCTAAAAGACTGGCAGCTGTAATTGCAGATAAAGGTGGTTCTACAAAGTATTGACTCAGGGGGCTGAATAATTACGCACACCCCACTTTTCAGTTATTCATTTGTAAAAATTGTTTGGAATCATGTATGATTGTTGTTCCACTTCTCACGTGTACACCACTTTGTATTGGTCTTTCACGTGGAATTCCAATAAAATTGATTTGTGTTTGTGGCTGAATTGACAAAATGTGGAAAAGTTCAGGGGGCCGAATACTTTGCAAGCCACTGTATATTGCATTTGTGGTTTATTTGTTTTACCATTTCAATCATACTGGACTCAGGATCGGCTTCCAGCATGGAACAAACCACACAGTAGTCATCAGCATTACCTAGAAACACACTGACGTTCAACCTAACAGTTTTAAACAAAACTGAAAGTGCTATTGCAATACAAAAGCACATGACTCAACTTACTTTGATGTTCTAGCAGTTCGCAAGCAATTTCAGTGCGGTGCAGCCCAATGGCTTCTGGAGTGGACAGCACCCTAGTAACCTCTCCACTCAGAAGGTAGTGTTCGGCAAACTGTAAAATATGTTACAGTAATTGCAATTGATTAACTTAATTCTAGTTTAATACATTAAATACAATTGCTTATTAAATACCTTCAACACTAAAACTCCACAACTGCTGGAGTCCATCTGCTTGTTGTGTGGCAGAGTCTCCATTTCCAATCCACTCGGGACTCTTCCTTTCCTTTCATCTTCAGAAAATTCCTAATAAAAACAAAACAAGTTTTTAAAATGTAGCCAGCATTTTGCTCTAAATAAAAAGAAAAAACCCACAAACCAAACAACCAAAACAGATAATTAATGAATGATGAATACCTCCAGTTACGCATAACTTTCCTTTCATAACAACCTTCATTTCCAAGAGGGTCTAACAGCAGTACAGATTGTGAGGAGATTTTGACAACCTAAAATAAAAATTGTATTTAGTAGAATATGTGTATTACACTCACTTAAGTAAACATAATCAATTGTAAGCATTTTCAAAATAAGAATATGCTGCTAAAAAGAACAGTAAAACAAAAAA